AAGAAAGAAAATAACTTTATTCGTTGCTACGCTAATACAAACACATAAAAAAAAACAAACAATTAACTCAACACAAAAAATAAACAATTAATAGTAAAAAGTATTTATAAAAAGTATTTAAATTTATGTTGGATTGCAGCAACGAAAAGGACCCGACTCAGCATTATGCTACAGCAAAGAGCCGCAGCGCTGTTATTCTGTCGGGACCACTAATCTAAAACATACGAGCAGCTGTCAGACAGATTTAATGCAAAAATATAAAACTAAAAGATAGCTTTCAATTATATTCGTTAATGTAGGAATATAATATAATTGAAGTATAGTATTCTGAAAAACGATTTTTTTAAATTAATATTCATTAAAAATAGCAACTTACTTCATCATTTACATTCTCTTCATCTCCTGTTTGATAGACATTTTCAAACTTAAACAAAGTACGTTCGTTTCATTACACTTCTTATTTTTTATCGTTTTAAAAAATTCTATAGTATGTGCCAAATCGATTGAGAAAAACGGACAATGACCTTTCGGTCGTTTAACCAGGGGTTACAAACCTTCAATATATAGGCACATTTTATATGTAGTACTTTCTTTATAATAATTTTTTTATAATGATTGATATAATATATATTTATTAACTATTATTAAAAAGTTATGTAAAAGATCGCTGTAGAAGAAAAATCATCTATTGTTAGAATTACTTTATTCATTTAACAACAAAAAGCATTAATTTATAACACATATAAAGATTCGAGTGATAACGGCACCGAATAAGTACTTATTCAAAAGATAAAACTTTATTTTCGATATTATATAAGAACTTTATTTTTATTCGGAGCAATCATCACTCGTATCTTCACTTGATGTGTATTCAGATGAGCTGTAACATTAATTATAAAGCAGTCTGCAGTTTGGTCAATTCTATCATCCCTGCCACGCATTTTTTGTTCAACCTTAAGGACATGCTGAACACAGTTTTTCCATTTATCTGGCGTGATTTGAGTTAAACCATCTTGTAAATTGAAATCTGTTAACTTGAAAGTTGTATTTTTTTCGTGCAACGTACGCTTTCACATCTGCCCACACAAGTTCAATGGGGTTAAGCTCACAGTGATAAGGAGGTAACCTTACCACTATGATACCTATCTCTTTTGCCATCTCGTCGGTGACGTAACTTCGATAGTTATCTTTGAGTGCCTTTATTTTTTCCATTAAGTAGGTCTTTGTGTCCGACGGCGCGTATGCTATCTGTTTGGATTCTAGCCATTCCTGCATATTTTGTTTCCGCCAAGACATTGTTGGAGTTTTTTCTAAACGTCTGGAGTGGTAACTATTTTCTATTACTTTTCTAAACCAGTCCTCGAAATGGAGAGCATTCATACTCTCATGGTAGTCACTAGTGGATGATGATTCAAATACCCAATCACATCCCTCCAAAAAGCCATTTTCATTGCCAACGTGTACAACTATTAATCACTTTCCTTTACCCGAAGGGGCTTTCGCTCCAGTAAAGTAGCCTTCCAACCGTGCTTGACGAAAAGATTCAATTGTGGTGTCTTCCCATAGTATGACCTGTGTTAAAACATGTTTCGTCAAGGTAAAAAATGTTGCGTCCCTCGTTTCTTAATATGTATTTATATTTTTCCCAAATATCTGGTACGCCCCAGAACTATCTCTGGGCGATCTGTTAGACCACTTTTTCTGTTTCTCTTTATATATTTGAATTTTAAATGGCGCAACACACGTCGCAGGGAAGTTTTGCTCAGGTTTGGCAACTGGTCATCTTGATTTATACTACGTGTATCGATATAATAAGTATGTATACGTATACGTCAAAACGGAACAAGTTTAGAAAGACGTGAAGTATCAGTATGCGTCATCTACCTCCTTTATAATATACACTATCATTGGTTGACAACATTAAATTATTTAGGTTTCCGAATCCCGCAGTAAAGTATATTTTGCGGTACGTATACAATATACATATACACTATTTTATAAGTTCTAACCTTAAAGTAATTCTTTTGTCCAACTTATAATGAAAGATTGTTTCCCTTAACCATTTTAAAACAAATTATTGGTTTGCAAACCACTGGGCCTACTTTTATAATATTTGTATTTAATAATTATATTTTTTGTTTTCAGCTGTAAATTGTGGTTGAAATATTATATTCCTTCCCAAGAGCAGTATACTACTTAAGCCATCCCGACAAAAATACATAATGAGCCCAGAATGCTGTGTGAAAAACTTTTTCATGATGATTAATTTAATGATGCAACCAAGAAAAACATCTTAAGAACTGCAGTTCCATGTGATGTAAGTAAAATGTATAATGTACATGGTATTTAATGTATATAGTTTTATTAAAGGATTACTCAGATATTTTACATGGGATTCCTATATTCAGGAGTGGACTTTGATAGAATGTAATGAAGATGATGACGATTATTCAGATGACCATCATCTGAATCTAATATGGATGGACAGAACACATACAGTGGTTTGAATCCTGTTAATGCCTTCAACCAATTTATAATAATTGTATAGGACAAGGCATCCAAGGGATTGAAGTCTATAAAGTTATATTATTATTTATTTACATAATACCCTTATTTACATTAATAAAAGTGCAACACTGTGCATATTATTTTAAACAAATTATTTTTTTAAACAACAAAAAACCTTAAGAAAGTTCAGGCATCACATCTATGAATAACTTAGATTTTGTCCTAAACCTATTAAAATTAAAGGCACAACTTGTACAACACAGTAGAAATACATGCATCAAATGGTTCTCAAATAATAGATAAACACAAGACTTTTTTTCTTCACATTATTAGGTGTAATAGTAGGTGTATTAATAGAGCAAGTTGGATGAACAAGATCCATTCATTTATTTTGTATTGGTAGAAGGGTACTGTAGTGTCATGAGTAGGGACTGGTTTACTATGAAAGTAATGTAAATGAATATAATGTTAATTTAATTTTATATAACATGTTTATTATACAATAATTTATTTCAGTTTTTATTTATTTTCAGACTGACAAACTGTATTCGCATTTCATTTTGTGGAAACACAAGCTGGTCCCTCGCAAATTATTGCTGCAAAACCACAAGCAGGATCTTCAAAAAGGACAACGATAGGAAGACAACATTGAAGAACAACCATATGCATATCAGATAATATTGAACCTGAAAAAGAAAGTACTCTATATAAAAATTTTAAAATTACATAAGGAAAATTTTTGTAATCTAATATTTGATATTTTTTATAATTTTGAATTATAATTATTCTATTTATAAGCTGCATTTAATACTTAATATATTGCATATAATAAAAAGACCTGAATTAGTGTTAATTCAGGGAAATAGACAATCAAATATTATCAAAACAAAATTATTATTTGTGGATATTGCACTTTGCACTTGTGTGTAGGAGCTTATTTATTAATTAACTTGTTCTTGATTAATTAAAATATTGATATTTTGGAAATTGTAGACATTCTGTGATTTGTGATTGTGCATATTATCAATTCCTTCATGATTGTAAATCTTATATATTATGTTACATAAGTAATTGAAATATTGTAATCAATATTGATTTTCTTTTCATGTTTAAACTCATCAAATGTCTTTATAGAAAGAAATAAGCTGCTGGAGAAATTTTGTCTTAAGTTATGTATGTTTTTTTTTATTTTAATTTGTATTTTTATTTGCATAAATAAATAGAAATTTTGTAGTTTTTGTTCTTTTATTTGGCGCAACCCAAAACATACCTCAAATAAAAAAAAACAAAAAGACCACGTTCAAATTTTCCCGCCACACGAGACAAGTGCAGGTAGGCTGACGATAGATGGAGCTAGTGGGTATATATTACATCACATATCTTATATTTTGTATGAAGTTGTTATTCTACGATAGGAGTAATGGTGTTCTGTGGACGTAACGAGCGTTTTATTTATTTTAAAGGGATGAATTAGCAATATCATTTATTTTTATCAAATATTTTTTTTAATATGGAACTGTTATTAAATGAATTGCTGCGTTACTTATAATAAATTTAAATATAAAATATAACACATTTTTCGCGATGTGCCGTAAGATTTTACGATGTTTATAGGAACCACAGACAATATTATTTAAGAAACAAAAAAACGTGTGATGACCTAGAAGTGTGAATAATATCAATATTTAAATATTGTTATCACATCTAAATTGAGATTTTGTAAGTTACGCCCTTTGACACTCGGCTCATCTGAGTCTGAGTCTCATCTGAGTCATCATTGTCCGTTTTTCTCAATCGATTTGGCACATACTATAGCCCCCCAAATTCCCCATTATTTATTTTTTCCCCAAAAATTCTATTCCCCAAGAGTCATTTTTCCCCAGAATCGCAAAAAACTCCAATCTGTTAACGGTGATAGACAAATAGATATGTAGCCAGTGACCACTAGGCAGTGTAACCATCTTTAAAATACAGATCCTGCCTTACTTTGGTTAAAAAACTGCCAGTCTGCAGTGAAAAATGCCTAAATAATTCCAACTTTATTTACCATTGTATTATAGTAAGAAATGTAAAAATACACATTTAAAATGCTATGTATATGTGTATAATTTGTTCTTATTACGTAGGAAAAATATATGTAGTAGACATGTACATGCCTAAGCAGGAAAAAATAATAATAAAAATAAAAAATCATTTTTATAGGTTTTTATTAAAAAAAAAACTGTTGCATAAATACAACACTATGCATTTACTAGAAATTATTACATATGAAAGTTTTTAAAACAATTCTTAGATTTAGTAAAGCAAAGGGTTACTCCACACTTCTCACACTTTGTTTGTGTATATCCCTTGCACCCAGGCATTTTGCATCTACTGCGGGCGCAATCATCAGGCCAGTGACTGATATCTTTAGGTGGAACATGCTGAACTGGTCCTCCACTTTTCTTGGCTTGTATTGCCATTTCAACGCTGTTACTGGTGCTGGGCCTTCCTCATTTGTTACAGGGTTCAGATGCAGTATTTATATTAGCTAGAACCTCAGCTAGTTCCAGTCTATATTGACACCAATTCAGAACTGATGAAGTTGCTTCAGTACCTTTCAAGTCTTTATAAACAAGCCAGGAATTTATTACTGTCATATCCAACAGATGGTAAAATATACGTAGGTACCACTTACGGCTTCTCATTGATATACGATACCTACCAATGAAGCTATCCAGAAGATCCACCCCGCCCATATGGGCATTATACTCTTTTATTACACGTGGGCATGTAATCTTGATCCTGGTCTTATTAACTTTATCAAATCTTTCTACTAGAGAAACAGGTTCTGCACCAACATATGAAGATAGGAAAGTGACCGGTTTATTGTCCTTCCAACTTACAGCTGTCAAATCAACACCTTCAAAGCTAGTCATTTGCTCTTCATAACTACCCCGGGGAACAGATTTCTTCATTAGTGATTTTTTGTCAGGTAGTTTGCAATTTACAAGTATGTTAGATTGTACAGTACCCAGGCTATAGATCCCTTGCTTAGCAAGATGGGTAACTAGTGGAACAGAGGTATAACAATTATTTGATATGCCTTGGGACATCTCTGGCTAACTGGATAACAACATTCCCCACTGGTCCAAAATCTGGTTCATCTTGAAACCGTTCAATCTCTTGACCAGTGTAGATCTCAAATTTATGAGCATAGTCTTTTACACTGCATATTACATATAATTTAAACCCCCATTTATGTGGTTTATTGGGTAGATATTGTTTCATGAAGTGTGCTACTTTTGTAGCACACATTTGTTCATCAATAGATAAACTTTGTTCCATAGGAACTGTTGCAAATTTCTCATTTAGATGGCTAAGTATAGGGCTAATCTTATGGAGCCGATCACGTTGTGGGTGTTCCCTGGGTAAATGTGTTTCATTGTTGTAGAAGTGAAGATATCTCCTAATACTCTCAAATCTGTTGACTGTCATAATTTTTGACTGGTTCGAAACCTACAGTGTTAGACCAGTAAAGCCTAACATTGGGATATTTTATGACAGACATGTATAACAATATTGCCATGAATTTTTTTAGTTCAGTTTCAGATATATTCAATGGTTTTGTTACATTTTTTGAACAGAGTATTAGTAGATTAGATTAGATTAGTAGATTAGATTCTTCTACGATTTTCTGAATTATTCCAGATGTAATAAAATACGAAAAAATGCTATATGGAGTACCAGTAGTAGTTTGATCCCTCAGTTCTGGTGGGTATCTGGTGTTGCCAAGAAAAGTAGTCTGGTCAAAATTCAAAACAAACTTTTTCACCGTCCAAACAAGTCCTTTCATAGTAGCTCGGCGACTGACTTGACTTGTTGATGGAAATGGAACCTGAGGCACTTGATCATTTGCAGGGTTTTCATTTGTCAATGGTGGGTCTTCTGTCAAGATAGGATCATCATCATCTTCATCATTTTCCTCCTCAATAGGATTCTCATGATCACGAAGTATATCTTCTCGGTTTTCATAAAAATTCTCATGTTCTTCTGCATCAGACTCCTCAAGATCATCTTCAGATCTCTTTCAGTCATTAATTTGAGCTAAATATCGTTCTATTTTCTTCTGATTCAAGGATGACATTTGAAAAAATAAGAAATTGGTGATCAGAACCTAAACAGCGACATTCTCTAGTAAATGCATAGTGTTGTAGATTTACAAGATCAATATCCACGAGATTTCATAAAAAACCAAATGTTTATTTTCAAAACTAATAACTGTCTCGAAAAAAGATGAATTATTCTATATAAAAAACATTTTTATTTGTACTGACTAATGGTGGTTAATATAGCGCATAGCGCCATATTATAGCGCGCTATCTCTTCACAACGCATAGCTCGTGCTATGTAAGTAGTCGCCATGGCGCTATGACGCTATGACGATTTGGCGCTATTCATATCAAGCGGCAATTAGTTCTAGCAGCAGTGCTGTTGGGAGTAAATGTGTGACGCAAATTTAATCTAGCAGCACGCTATTCATCGCGCGCGAACTAATTTAGTGTTAGACGTTATTTAGTTAGTGTATACTGTATATTTATAAGTGATCGAAAGACACACTTGTCTGCTACAAAAGAAGCCTAACTAATGTTTTTAAAATGTAGATACAATATAGATACAAAAGTGTATATAGTAATGTTTGTAAATACTTGATTTTTGTATATACAATCAATAAACTTTTAAATACATCTTTAATTGATTTATAATTTATATTAAGGTTAAAATAACGTTTACATCAATTATAATAAAAAATGATTAATTTTATTTTGTTTCAAAAAGTACACGCCTTAAATATATTTTTAGGACTATAGAAAGTCGTAAGCCTGAAAAGTATGAAAGAGCATTCATTGATTTTTCTTTACCACTTTATTTTATTTCAATCTAAAATGCGACATATTAGAAACAATCTTCGATCAACAATACCAATGATCAAAGGAAACAATGTTCTTATATAGCACGCGGTCTATCCAATTAAAGAAATGTAATGTAGCGTGCTCCGAGATATAGCGTGCTGCTAAACTTAACGCGCTTGCCGGCCTCCTATACACTTTTTTTTATAAATAGCGCGCTTTAACATAGCGTATTTAATAGCGCGCTAGAAATTTCTAGTTTATAGTCTGTAGCGTGCTATTGATTTACAGTCGTTTTGAATAACTTTATTACTGACCTTCAAAAATCAATTAATTACACAACAAAACAACCACACTATTTTAACCTGCTCCAGAATTCACAATAGTCTTTGCTTTGTCACTGCCAAGTTGACATTTGACAGTCGTGAAGGAATAAAATGCGTTGCCATTCGATAAAATATGTTATTCTGTTAGTGATAATTCTACAACAGCATGCACTAAACGCATACCGATGATTTTGAGGCCGTTTGAATGGTATGTTGTAATTTTACAACATGATGCATTTAAGGGTTAATGAATTAAAATTAAACATTGCAGTTAGCATCATTTTCTTAATTTTTTCATCTTTATACATGAGTTTATTCATTCAATTTAACATATCTTTCATTAGTTTGAATGCAATGCAATCACCATTCTCACCAATGCCTTGTTTAACGTACAGTATAGACGCTACATGATGTTTATAAATCTGTTTCGTGTTTTTGTCTTAATTAAATTCACTTGAGAGAATATTCACACAAAATCGCCGTCAACACCATGGAGGTTAGAGAACAGGAGAATGATCGCTGTAGAAAATAGTGTCCCAGAAATATGGACAAAATAAGTAATGCGCTGTGATCGCTAAATTTTGTCAATAAAAGTGGGTTGTTGTGCGCTAGTTTGAAATGATTATAATATCATTCAAAAGAAAAAAAAAGAAAATAACGACATTATTTTTATTTATTATTGTTATTATTTATCAATAAATAAATTATGTTTTTTTATAATTTTAATTAATATAAATTGTTACAAATATAAATTATTAGTTATTATTGATTTTTTAAAATAATATTTCTCCATTTTATAATGTTTCTTTTTGTCAATAATTAAAAAATTACTTCGCAGATACTACTTACCGATGGCAGCGCGGCTGTAAATTCTACAAATTTTCAGGGACAGGCGGGCTATGTTTTAGCACGTAGCGATCATACATGGTCAACACCGTCCCCTTTCACACTTTTCACCGATTTTTGACATTCACAATTTTTTTTATTTAACTGACTTTACGGCTCTGGGTTCTAGCCCTTCTGAGCCTATCATTTCTTTCAGAATCTTAATTTTATATATTTTTTCTTCACAATATACTGAGGCGTTACATTGCGCAGTTTTTGGGAGATTTTGACGACAGCTTAACCCAGCAGACTATTGATGACGACAGCCACTCAAGTTCATAAGCCGCCCAAGCGATCAAATTAACTTGAGGTTTATATCAACATCAAATTTAATTTTCATTCATGTTTCCCTTAACAGTTTCCTTTTCCTTGACCGCAATATAGACGTAAATAGTTAAACAATCGAAATGTACATCTATGATTCATAGGACAACGAAAGGATTAATATTATAACAGCCTTTAAAATGTATCAATGGATTATACAAGGCTGATTAAGAAAGTATTATGTATTACTTATTTACTTATATTCTGAGCCGATTAGAATTCAAAGGAGACAAAACGCTTTGGCCCAAACAGAAAATGGTTACAACTCTTGCAAATATACCTTACTTTCAAAATATTTCTAGTCCACAAGCCCTGCATTAGAGATGCTACTTTTTTGTGAGTACTGCAGCATTTTTAGACTAGACATTTCAATCGAATCTGGCTTAAGGCGTCATTAAAATAGCTTTTTATTCTTCATTAATTACTCTTAATAGATACATAATACGCCAGAGATCGCGTTGTGCTGTCTATATTAAATTAGGTGTATATTCTGACATGTATACCTTTATCAGTAATGTTTGTGGAAGAAAAAGTTGGCTTGACCATGGTGTGGTATCTGTAACAGCATGAAAAGCAATATAAATGGCAGAAGTTTATCAAGATGTTTTCTGATCTGACCACTTTCCACTTGCTGTTCTGCTTAACCTGAGAAGGGTTAAGCCGACGTCAGTATCAGTAAAACAGAACAATAAGATAAGTGATAAAGTTGTGTGGGGTTAAATAAATGTAGCACAAATAGGCTGTTACTATAGGTTGTGTATGGAGAAACTTATAGAAATAGACTTTCCTTCTCAAGTAAGGAACTTTTGTGATCATTTCTGTCAGAACAAAAATTATAACTAATAATATTGTGACTTCACTTCGTGAAGCGGCAGACAGCAGTTCAGTTATAGGGGGGGATAAAAGGGATCGACATATAGTGATTGGGTGGAACATACTTAATGTTAGAGGCGCATACGGAAACGCTAGGAGGGCCTTTCTGAACTGAGTGTGTTATGATAAACCTCACTCTGGGCAGTTTTTTGTAGATGTGACGTGTAAAATTTTTAAGCATCAGTTAAAATTTTGTCAGGACAATGAGGAACAAATTTAAGTTGAAGGATATTTTGGAAACTGAGCATAGGAATAAACATTTTCAGAAATTTTAGAAGTCTACTCAGAGGTTGAGCCCGAAACCTACGGCATAGGTGAGCGTTAATGGCTCCTCAACTGAACCTCGGTAGATTGCGGATATATTTATGAGACATTTTAGAGTAACCTCGCAACTATACAATGCTGTTTAATTTGTATGTAAGGAATTCTTATCTACCTACTGAACTGATGAGAACAATAGTTGTACCCATAGTTTAGAATAAGACCAGTGATATTTCAGAAATAGACAATTAAAGGCCAATCTTTGGCTACAGTAACAGCTAAAGTTCTTGACAGTGGGCTTGAACTTAGAGTACTAGACACCTCAATTTACATGATGCTCAATTCTGTTTAAGAGTTGAGCTGTCTACTGAAACTGCTATTTTGGCGCTCAAGCATACT